AAATAGATTCAAGATATTTTCATTTCTGTGGACTTATTTTACTTTTCTTAGGCCTCAATTTGAACTTGCGCATGAGTAATAGATAGTCTGATTCACAGTCCGCTGCTGGCCTAATTTTGATTGTTGATATTGAGGTTCTCCAACAATTCCTTCCACAAATGTAATCAATGTGATTCCTATGCAGCCCATCAGGTAAGATCCATATGTAAAGTCGCCATTTGTGTAAATTTAAAAAGGCATTTGTAATGAATAAATAATTGAAAATACAAAATTCAATCATTCATTTTCCAGCATCATCTCTATCACCACGCCCTATTTTCCATGCCCTATTTTCCAACTACTATTCCTTCTCCATTGTTTCCAACTTTTGCATTCCAGGCACCGATTATCACTAATGCCTCTTGATTGCATGTTCAGTCAATTTTGGGTGGCAAATTTGGTAAAAATTTTCAATTTTTTGGGTTGCAAGTTTGGTAAAAATTTTCAATTTCTTCCTCTATGGTTGGTCTTTACTATATGAGTAATATCCTATCACTCACAGCATTTTATTTCAGGATAGAAATTGACTTTTTAACTATGAATGCAACACCACTCTTATTCTGTTATTCATTCCTAGCATGGTATACCATATGATTATCTGATTCATATCATATGATCATACTATATGATTATAGGATTATTTGCATTGTATTATACTATGTAATAGAATTCAAATCCTATGTAAATAGCACTTTGTTTCCTCTTAGCCTTTGAAGGAATGAATTACCCTCTAACTCCCAGATCAGTGGTTGTTTTTATGAGGTTGAGAATTCCCTGGATTTAACAAAGTTTTATGAGAAACAAGTGGGACAGCTAGTAAAGCACTGATTATATACTAGATAACCAACAGATGTGACACCCATCCTCTTGTACTAAAATATAAAAATTCAATTGCCATCAAGTCAACTATAATCCATGGTGACTCTGTGTGTGTAGGGAGAAATGTGCTCTGCAGGATTTTCAGTGACTAAGATTTTTTTTTCCCAGAGAGATTTTCAGGTCTTTATTCTAATGCACCTCTAGATAGACTGTAACCAATCTTTTGGTTAGCAGTCAAGGAGGTTAACTGTTTGCAGGACCTAAGAGTTTCTGAAAGTCAGCAAAAAAGATAACAAAAACTCTTGTTATAGCCTAGGAATAGTAGTAGTAGAGAATGTGAGGTGTCTGGGCGCTGCCTTAAGACAGCAGTGTTCTGAAGCAATTCTGTGTGCAGAGAACACAGGAAAGCACTCACTGACTGAGTTCTTTACTTTGCGGTCATCCTGGTGCCTGGAAGCCACAGCTCTCTGGCCTATTCTTAGCTCAGGAACTCACCCTGCACACCTCAAGCCACCCCCACCCTGTAAGTCTGCCTTTATCTGAGGAACAAAACTCTCCACTCAGTAGACAAACTCAATTATGGAGCTGATCAGACAGACCATGCTGCATTTCTGAGCTGCTCCCATTGCAGAGGAGACAGACCTGATCTGGAGCAGGGTCCTCGGAAAACATCTCTGCCTGTGTGCAGGACAGAGACAAGCAGTGAGCTGTTTGCCTTCAAGCCGAACACAGGCAGAGCAGACTTGCTTTCACATAGTTTGTATATGTTTAAACTTTACAAAGGGACTTTGAGCTACAGAATATTTTGAATACTATTGCTACTAGAATACTACTTCTGACACTGCAAATTACCAAAAGACACACATAGAATGTGAGGATGAGACTGAAAGCAAAAGGAGCAGAAAGAAGAGGTTACCATTTTATTTAAGATATGCAGAATTGAGTTTTCTGGTACTTGCCTAACTTAAGCAAGATTCAGTTGTATTGGGTCTGGGAACAGAAAAAGTTCACACACGTCTAGATTTCAAAGATAGTCCAGATTGAGTAATCTACTTTTCTTTCTTTGGTGAAAAAAAGTGAGGCAATTTGCGTAAGATTCTTACACAGTTAACAATTTGTTGCCATTGGCTCATTTCTGATTCATACTGAGTTTATGGGATAGACTGGAAGTTCCCAGTTGGGTTCCTGAGGTGGTAAATTTGTATGCGGACTGGCTGGTTAACACATTGCCACAAATGATGGCAAATGTGTTTCTAAGCAGTGTTGTCAATTTTAAAAGTGTGAGGCAACATGTTAATTGAATCCACTGAGTTTGAGATTATAGACCAAGTATTTGTTTTAATTATTAAACTGTCGGGGCTCCTTAGATAATTAATAGTGGAATTAATACCTGAATATCAAACCTAGAAAATACCTGGTTTGTAATCTATGAAACCTATACTTGAACCAGGAGGCAGTTGTCAGAACAGCAAAGAAACACTGCATGGTTCAAAACTGGCAAGGGTGTACACCAGGAATGTGTCCTATTTCCAAACCTTTTCAATTTATATGTAGAACAGATCATCC